ATCTCATAAAGTTGTGAGACGGACAACAAATTGTATCTCAACGAATTTACAAGTAAAACATTTGAAATAAAATTATCATCTAATATAGCAATTTTACCCAAACCAAGGACTTCTCCTTTTCTATTGTCACCAAACACAATATTCCCACTTTGATTATGACTTTGGTTGGAATGATGTGAACATGTCCTTCTCTCCGGTCATATGATTGGTGCATCCACTATCCAACACCCAACTTGTTCCACCGGAGGAATATTCCTACAAAGACAAATTAAGCTTTTGTTTTAGGTACCCAAAAAGATTTGGGTCCTAGGGGGTTAGTCACATAAAACTTGAGCACCCAAACAATCCTCATAATTTTCTTTCTCTTTTGGGCACCAACATACTTAACCACAATCTTGCCATCCTTGCCCCAACAACACATATAGTCACTAGCATAGCACCATGGAAGTGGTGCTTGTGGCTTGGGGGCCTCGGATTGCTTCGTCTTGATTGTCTTGTTACTTGTAGGTTGGATCTTTGGAATGTAGACCTTGTTGTTGGCCTTGCATATAAGCTCATCAAGAGCAACACCCTTGTTGAACTTCACACAAGGCACACCATTGATCATGTTCCTTCCATTGGCCTTTCCATCATACCTATTATAGTCAATGCCTTCCTTGATTGATGGGTGCCTTGATGACTTATATATAGTCTTGTTGGATTGCTCTTGACACTTGCACCCATTCTTCAAGATCATCTTCAACCTATGAATCTCCTTGTCTTTCTTCTCTAACTCAACAAGGTTAGTTGTATATGCATTCACATCAATTTTATAGCATCTTTCACAACTATTGCTAGTGGAGACATTAGAGTCTTCGGTTGCCTTAAGAGAAGTTGAAGTGCTAGCCCAAAGAGTACTATAGTTTAGCTCAAGATTTCGGTATTTTTCTTTCAAGCTTGTGAGGCTTTCTTGAGCTATACTCTTCTCATTCTTGAGGCTAGCTACTTGATCATTAACCGAGGAATGTTCCTTAGTCAATTTCCCAATTGAGTTATTGGCTAAATACAATTCTACGGTTAACTTCTCAACCTTCATCTTTTCCTCGACGATAGATGCTTCAAGTGCAAGGTTTCTCTCTCTCTTGAGTGATTATATCTCCTTGCAACTCTAAGCATCTATCCTTCTTCTCTAATTTCTTCATTAGCATTTTTATTTTAGTGAAGGCCTTTTTACCAAATTTCTTTATCATGGTTGCTTCAATTTCTTCTATGTTCTCATTACAACTATCATACTCATCACTAGAGGGATCAGGGTGTAACATGTACCTTCTCCCTTTTGCCATGAGGCAAGTTGGAGTGTAGTAGTAGTCGTCGTCGATGAGGTTGGAGAAGAGATTTAGTGGTGAAGATAGGTTGGGGAAGAGTTTTGGTGGTGAAGTTGAGTTGGGGAAGATCATGGTCGGTGAAGAAGAGCGGTGGATGGCGATGTTTGCGGCTCCGTTCTTCTTCTTCTCATCATCACTTGAGTCACTATCATTTGACTCCCATTCTTCCCCAAGATGAGCTTCACCTCTCTTCTTGTCTTTGTTCTTCTTGTCTTCATCCTTGTCATGCTTGTGCTACTTCTTCTCATTAGGACAATCGACTATGAAGTGATCGGTTTGACCACATCCATAGCAAAATCTCTTTTTGAACCTTTTCTTTCTATCACCATAGGTCTTGAGGCTGCTCTTCTTCTTCATAAACTTTCTAAGATTCCTAATCACAAATACAACCTCTGCATCGGAATCTTCTTCTTCACTTGAGGAATCATCCTTCACTTTCTTCTTCTTCTCTTGACTTAAACCTTGACCTTCATGTTGTTGAGTTGCTTTAAGGGCTGCACTCTTGTTGTATCCCATTGCATTAGGATTTTGATTGTGAGCATTGATTGCATCTTCATCTAGACACTCATGATGCTTTAGTTTTAAAAGAACTTCTTGGGGTGTCATCTCATTATAATCGGGCCTTTCCATGATCACGGACGCTACCATGTTGTTCTTGGCTCTATAGGTTCTCAACATCTTCCTAGCAACCTTATTGTCATCCCATTCGGTGCTTTCAAGAGCTCTTATGCGGTTGACCAATACCATGAGCCTATCAAACATGGATTGTGTTGTTTCATTTTACAAGAACACAAATCTTTCCAATTCACCATAAAGTAACTCAATGTGGCCTTTTCTCACACTTCTATCTCCTTCAAATGACACTTTCAAAGTATCCCAAATTTATTTTATACTTTCCATTCCATTTACTTTTCTAAACTCATCCGGAGCTAGACTTGACACAAGCAATGCTACGGCTTGTGCATTTTGATGGAGATTGTGCGCTTCTTCCGGAGTTATATCTATCCTTATCGGTAGGAATCATCACACCAACATCCACAACTTTCCAAAGTCTTACGGCAATAAGATGCATCTTCATCTTATAAGACCAATCGGTGTATCTTGTTCCATCAAAGTGAGGTGGCTTGCCAATGTTGCCGGACGGAGTATGTAGTGTTGAACCTTTTATGAGTTGTCCATAGTCAAAGCTCATGTTTGACTATATTCCCTTTCCATGAGCAAGCTCACCGGCTCCAATATCACTAGCGGCATCTTTGTTTGCTTCATTCTTGTCACTTATTGTATCATTCTTGCCACTTATTGCATCATCAACCTTTTTGCTCAATTCTTCCTTCATCTTGCTCATCTCATCTTGCATCTTCTTCATTTCATCTTGAAAGAACTTGACTTGAGCAGACATCAACTCTTCAGCTATTTTCTTGGCCATCTCGGTGGCAACGGCTTGCATCTTGTCGGACTCCGACATTGTTTCTTCTTACGCGGTGAAGCGCTAAAAGAAGACCAAGTTCTGATACCAATTGAAAGGATCTAACAATGCCTAGAGGGGGGTGAATAGACGTATCTAAAAAATAACTGCAAATGCTAAGTTCAAATTTATCAGTTAATGTCAGAAGTCCCGGCGTTTGGGTCGGAACTCCCGACGTCGTCAGAAGTTCCGGCACAAACGTCAGCAGTCCCGACGCCTACGTGAACTACAAAAGCAGTGCCAAATTTAACTTTGCGGATAAATATTCTTACAACCCAACTTTCTTGTGATTTGGTGAAGATGTTGGGTCATTCCCTGACGCCGTAATGCCTCCAAACCGTAGATCGAGTCCAAACCCTAAAATAAAGTTCAAGAGAGAGAGACAAACAAATACAAGTAATCTCTAGCAATCACAACAACAAGCACACAGGACACAAGGATTTATCCCGAGGTTCGGCAACCCCACAAAGAAGCTCCTACGTCCTCGTTGTTGAGGTGACCACAAAGGTCGGAGTCTATTCCACCTCCTTGCCTCTTTCAAAGCGACCACAAAGATGACTTGAGCTTTTCACTAAGAAATCAAAGGATAATACAAACTTCCTAAGGCTCTTCCACAAGATGGAAGCTCTTGGGCAACGCCTAGCCGGCTAGGGGCAAGGCCCCAAGAGTAATAGACTCAAAACCAACCGGCTTGACGAAGAAATCAAGTGCTCAAGCTTGCCAAAGTGATTCTCTCACTTAATTCACTCTCCTTTCATTCAAAACCCTAGGGAAATCGAAGATTTGAGCAAAGGAGGAAGGAGAGGGGTGCCTTTCTTTCTTGGGAGCTGTTGGGACGAAGTTGGGTCAGCTATGAATGAGTCCGAAACGGTTAGAAGTGAAGAGATGACTATTTATACTCTTAGTAGAAATCTAAAGGCACCTGACACAGATGAGGAGCATTATATAATAGGTAAACAAACAACATAACGTAGCTTTTTTATTACACACACAATAACAGTGACACAGATGAGGAGCAAGAACAGTAGAGCCTAGCACGTCCACAAAGGCATAAACAGACTTGCAAACGCTAGTAATCACGAAAAAAATGGCCGGAAATTAAATCTGATTTAATTTACTAGGAGTCAAACCATGTCATCTTCGGCCATGCAAATCTCTGAAGTCGATGGAGCGGCGCGCGGGCACCAGCGTTGGTGTGGACCTCGGAAGCTGATGGAGCGGTGGCGGTGGTTGAGACCTCGGAATCAGAAGTCGATGGAGCACCTGCGCCAGTGCGGACCTCAAAAGTCGAAGATTGAGCGGTGCCATGGTTTCCGGATCGAGAGAATTCTATATTTGGCATCGAAACAAATCGCTCTTCCGTATTTAGCACTGGAAATTTTGAACTTCCTTATCTAGCATCAACTTGAAAATTCCTTCGATATATGGCACTTCCGTTCATTTGATGGAGTAACAGTGTCAAGTGCCACATAAAATAATATATATACCCTTACCAACAACATGTTGGCAATGACCAGCACTCGTCCGTCCGCCACGGCAGCCTCCGGCTGTCGGCCAGCTCGACGACGACGGCGTCATCCACTGCCTCGGCCACAGGGCACCACAGCCCACCGCGACCATGCCTTGTCTACCTCCACAATGCCAAGGTCCACGTCCGTCTTGGTCCGCCATGGTGCCGACTCCATGGCCGCGACGCCGTCCATCTCCCTAAGCACCGACAGCATGAAGACGGTGGTCGCCTTGGCGACCTCGCCGTACTGGAGCCGCACCACTGTGACGCTGGGCCGCTAGGCGGCAGGGTCCTCCTCCTCCCCGTCCACCTCCCCGACCGCCTTCTTCATGGCGCGCTCCAGCTCGAGCTCCACGCGCGCCCTGCCGGACTCGGTCTCCACCACCTGCATCGTGGCGTACTGGAGCCGCACCACCGTGACGCCGGGCCGTGAGGCGGCAGGGTCCTCCTCCTCCCCCTCCACCTCCCCAGCTGCCGAGGAGCAGGACGGTGATAGGCGGCAGCGCACGCGACAGGGAGCCCGGTGAGGCCGTTGTCGCACCACCAGAGGCGGAACAGCCTCGGCGTGCTCGCCGAGTTCGGCGAGTGCACCACGCCGAGGCCGTTCTTGAAACGCGGCACGGGCACCGGCGGCGCGGCCGCGCCGCCCAGGCTGCGGACGATGCGGGTGCACGACCTGCTAACCCTCGACGTGGCCATTACCCCGAGGCCGCTGCCCCAGCAGCAGCAGCAGGAGGAGCTCGGCCACGCCCACGCGCACACCCAGGCGCCGCGCCACGTCCGGTCCGTGTCGGAGTTGCCGTTCGAGACAGCGGCGCTGGCCTCGCCGCAGGCGAGGGCGAGGAAGCGGTGGGGCAGCCCGGAGAGGCCAACGGCGATGTTCTCCGACTTGCACAGGGACCTGTCCAAGGGGCTCAAGAAGCTGCTGAGCTTCGTGAGGAAAGGCGGCAGGAGCGGCGGCGGCGCGGGGCGTGCGCTGGTGGCGCGGCGCGGTGGTGGACGCGAGGGGGTGGGGGTGGGAGAGTGACAACATTTTGGTATTTATCAACAAAAACTGACATGGTCGATGAAGTCAACAAATGGATGGATGGTCAAAATGGACGGAAGTGCCATATACAAAAGAAATTTTTAAGTTGATGCTAGATAAGGAAGTTCAAAATTTCTAGTGCTAAATACGAAAGAGTGATTTGTTGCAGTACCAAATACAGAATTCTCCCTTCCAGATTCATGGTTTGGAAGGTCCTCCCTCTGCAGCTTGTCGGTGAAGGTCTCCATCCTCATGTGAAACAACAGGAGCCATACATAGGAGAGGAACTTGCCGCCGTTCCCCAAAGCCTTGGCATGTAGGTACCCTCTCTGCATCTGCTTGCGGAGAAGCAGAGCATCACAACCCAAACGCTCTCGATCTCCTCCCACAGCTTCTTCTCATCACCTAAGTTCTGCGCCTGCAACTTTTGGGCAAGCGTCTAAGCCTCAGGGACGAAAGAATATCGGAAACCTTGTGATGTTGACTCTAGCTTGCTCTTAATCTTCAGTGTAAGCTCTCCCTTCTCCTGTGGTGGTTTCACACCAATGAATATGTGGTCGAGCTCTTGGTGAGCTGTTGTGAAGAGATTGCGCCTGGAGCCAGGCAACAACATCTCAGGATTAACGAACAAGAGGTACACCATGTAGTTTGACATCTGTCTGCACTGGACAGCTTTACAGGCTGCCAATTCTTCTCCGCATTGAGATCCAGTGTGGTTGTTCTCGACAGATGAACTATTCCCACGGGCACATTTCCCTACCGCTTTCTTAGGAAGATATTTCGCAACCTTTTCTCGGATCCTTTCTCTTGTTTCATCAGGTACTAAACTAAGAAAAAGGTGGAAAGTCTGTGAAGATTACGTTGGTTGACAAAAAAAGGTTGTAGCTTAGTCATCCATGTCAATATGGTTGGGACCTCAGCAAAGGCGCATCTATGCTCTGAAACCACCAGGCTCGAGAAGAAGCAAAAATCCGTGACCATGTGCCAGAGGAGGACACTCTCATCGAATGGCCTCTTTGTGGTCAAGCCCAGAGATTTGCTGATGCTCCAGTGGTTGCTCTCAGCGTCAAGCGCCCATTGGCTGCTGTGGTCGTTGAACCTGCGGTAAGTAGCAGCGTCATGTGTTTTTTCCTTCCACCCGTCATACAGATATCGATGAACCAACTTTGACGAGAAAAACGACTCCATGCACCAGTCCTTGCATCCAAGCAAACTTGCAATTCCTATCTTGTTGCTGTTATTGTTGCGGGCAAAGTATTCTATGAGGCTATATGGAGCGACCATCTCTGGCCACTCTTCCCAAGGCCAGTTCATGATGTTGACAATATGGAGGAAGGAATAAAATTCAATCACAGCAGCAAAACAGAATATGGCATATGTAATGTTGACGTCAATATCATTATAAGCTTCTCTGTGACTGTGGTCGAAGAGGCCAATGGCTACCCAAGGTAGCACCGCACGTGAGATCAGTATATATTGCTGATAAATATACCCACATTCAAATACGTCATCACTGTCCTTGAAAGCCCCTACAGTCTTTAGTTTGGTGTAAAGAAGAAGGAACGCACTAGCGTGTCCTCGTCGGATGGAGGAATAAGCTCTCTTTTCGCTAAGCCGGCAGAAATGCCTAAGGATACCTAGTCGATGATTACGTGGAGTTAAAAGGTCTAAAAACAGCTTAGAGGCATCACCTTGCTCTTCAAACTGTTCCATTTGTGTTACTCTTTGTGTGATGCCATCCGTGAGATCGTGTCTCAATCTTTCTCCTTAGACGTCCACAGATCAATGTAAATTGTGATGGGGCATGATTGCCGTCCCTGACAGGAGTCCCTCCTAGATCGCCTGCCATTGTGGTTTCAGTTTTTTGATTTAGCTTGATGTGAGATAATACTACTTATTAAAAGACGCAATAAGCCAAGCAACGGGAACGCGGACATGCATGGAAGATACATATCTACGGTCTACTACAACAAGGTACAAGTACCCTTACGTACCGGGCTCATCATCGGCCTCCTTATTGCGTCTTGGACGGTCTTGGTGCTCCACAACAAAGCAGGGCTCGCTTGCTCCTTTCTCCTCATCACCTTCATCGTCACTTTGTTCTTGGACAAGAGCCACCTCCACTGAAACCTTTGTTTGTTTCACATAGAACTCGAGCGGATACTCATCGAGTCATCGTGTTTTTCAGCAGGTGCTGAGCTGACGAGGCTATAAATGCTCGCATTCTTGAGAGCCCATGGCTTCATGAAGCATTTGACAATTCCAGGGACGAACAACACGATTGCTGCCTGCAACAGCCTCTTGTCATCACCCCCTGGCGGCCAGGATTTGCAGAGGACGTACATGGCCACGGTGACCTGAGACACCGCAGTGTGCAAGTGCCGGCTCCACAGCTCGTTGTCTTCGATGTTGTAGGCGGTGATGCCGTCTTGTCCGCCAAGGTGAAGTAGAAGCACGGGCGCCAAGACCACCTCCAGCAGCATGCTGCTGCTGCGGCCTCCGTTATCTTGATCCGTCTTATGACGGTTGAAGAGCGTGGCGAGGGCGTAGATGACCACCGCGTCGCCGCCAAGGTACGCCAGACACGTCATGGACCTGACCCACCTAGGAACTGCAACCCTACGCAAGAAGGAAAGGATTAAGAGAAGGAATTGAACGGCCAGGCTGCTGAGGACGAGGACACGCAGCTGCCACTCCTCCCACCAGTCCACAGCACTCGTGAGGCCTCCCATCCCTCCTCTCGTCTCTCTCACAAACACACGCGCGGAGACCAAGCAAAGTGAGAACGAACCCGGCCGGAGTGGAGGTGAGGTGGTGATTCAGTGTTCAGGCTCACCCGGCCGGCCCACTATATTTGCAAAAGATTATTAGCGACAAATCCGCTTCTTTTTTCTAATATCAATCATATATGTTAGTCCAGAAGGAGCAGGGTTGGCTATACTTTTTCTTGACCTACTTGCTCAAACAACTACTGTGGTCTTCCGTGCATTCGTGGAGGTCACAAGCAACTCCATTCTAGTGGTCAATGTTGTAAACCAAAGTAAAAAAGGAGTGTGAATCCATGACTTTGATGGTGGCCAATTAAGGGCGCCTTTGGTATGGATTCGGCAGCTCCGGCTCCACCTGATAAGTCCACTGTTCCGCTACTATAGCAACACTGTTGGGACACTATTCATAGGATCATTTTCTCTCTTCTCTCTCTCCTCTCACATAGCCGGTGGAGCCAGTTTTTTTTTTTTTTCTTCACCGGCTCTGGCTCCTCTGACGCACAATAGCCGTATAATGCAGGAGCCAGAGCACATCGAATCCCTACCAAAGGGACCCTAAATGAGAGGGAAACAAAGTCTGAGAGTTCACATTTGTCATGACCTGATCGTGCCAACTTTTTTTCACAAGCATCATGAGCATAATTAGCGTCCTAATGGCACTTGGCGTCCTAATGGCGCAGGACCTCCCTGGCGCCCCCCACGTCCACGCATACAGCATGGAGATGAGGCAGTCACCCTTCCTGACCTCATCGGCGTCAGCCTGTGTGATGAGGCTGCGATCGCACAACAACCTGTCGGAGATGGGGTGGTAGCCGCTTCTCTCGACAAAGGACCGGGGCATCTTGATGGTGGCCTTGGACACATGCAGGTCGCCCACCACTACCTCCACCACCACCACCACCTCCTCCTCCTCCTCCTCCAGCAGCAGGCCCTGTGTGATGAACGGTACCACAAGCTTATGATCAGTAGCAGGGTCGAAGGAGGCGACCCTAGCCTCGAACTCGTAGAGGATCTTGTCTGTACGGGCCATGTCCTCGTCGAACCTCGCGGCATCCTCGGCGGTGTACTCCTCCGTGAGGAATCTGGGCAGCACTGTCGTCATGGTTGCCATCTCGTGATCCGTCATCCATGGCATTGGCAGCCGGCGGGCCTTTTTCTCGTCCGTGCCTTGATGGTGGTGGTCCTCGTCGTGCTCATCATGCGATCGATGGCAACGCTTATTCTTCACCCCACGGCCACCTGCTCCATCTGATGCTGATCGTCGTTGTCCGCGCCTTGCAGTCGACAATGGTCCTCGTCGTGCTCATCATGCAATGGTGGACGACGACGCTTATTGGCCCTCATGGCCACCTGCTCCTGCTGGATCCCCATGAACAACATACAACGATCGTCGCTCTGTATAGCTGCCCTTGGCTCTGATCCTTCTCGTCGATCGATTTCTTCTCTTCTGCTGTTCTTCGATCAATGCGATGATGGATATGGATTTGCCTGGTTCCTCCCTCCTTGTCAAGGCCGGGCCGGCAGTAGACTTCGGTTCCGAGACGGACGGGTACGCTGCTAGTCTAGTCACAAACGAAGAACAACGGGAGTTTGCAGTTGGTATAAAATAAAAAAGAACAAAAAAAGGACACGTAAAACAAACAATAAAAAACAAATTTCTACTCTTATTCTTTTCTATTTAGATTAGAATTCCTATTCAGGTTATTCATGATCAGAATCTATTTGGAATAGGAGTCCTGACCCAAGAAGTCTTGCATATGTACTGTATAAAATAGGAGGGTTGTAGATAGCTGTAGAGGGACAGTTTCTATATTCACGGAGTTATTTAGGGATGGCTAGACAAAAAAAAAAGGGACTGAAATTTTGGCTCTTTAATATTAGGTATATAGATATAGATGAGCTTTGCTATATACGTATATTTGCAAAAAATTATTAGGGACAGATGCGCCGTTGCTGTCGTTAATGTGCCGCCTCTTTTTTCTAATATCAATCATATATGTTAGTCCAGCAGGAGCAGGTTAGCTATAATTTTTCCTGACTGACTTGCTTAAACAACTACCGTGGTCTTCCGTGCATTTGTAGTGGAGGTCACAACCAACTCCATTCTAGTGGTCAAATTGGTGTACGAAGCACAATTGGTTCACTACTGGAGGCGCATGCTTTGGCTCTCGGCAAAGGCCCAGAAACCCTCGGCAAAGGCTTTGCCGAGGGCTGCCCTCGGCAAAGACCCCT